CCCCCCCCCCCCCCGCTGTCCTTGTCTTTCCTTATTTGGTCTCCCTTTGTAGGACACAGACAGGCGTGCTAGGTGTGCATCATCCACACAGCCTATGTCTCAGGAGCCATGGAGAAGTAGGAGGGGACAAAAATCATGCAGGGCAGGGGGTGTGAGAGTGGAGTGGTGACTGTCGGTGTTAACTCTATCTCTGTTCATGAAGTGGTGCCGATGTAGATGGAATGGAAGAGGGAGGCAGGGATGAGGGCAAGATTTCAAGCACCAATAGAGCTGTGTGTAGTGATGGCTCATGCTTGGATTTTGCATCTGCTCTTTGAAAGGAATTGTCCAGGAGCCCTAGCCGGAGGAGAAACTGGCAGAGGTGGACCTGAGCAGCTTCAACATCCTTCTAAGCAGACGTGAACAGTCCTCAGCTTTCTGCCTCCCGCATAACTGGCTGTGAGTAAGCAATCAGTGCTTTGAATTCCTCATCTGTACTTGCTGTAGTATACATAGAATATCAGGGTTGGAAAGGACCTCAGGAGGAGATTCCACCACCTCCCTAGGTAACCCATTCCAGTGCTTCACCACCCTCCTAGTGAAAAAGTTTTTCCTAATATCCAACCTAAACCTCCCCTACTGCAACTTGAGACCATTACTCCTCGTTCTGTCATCTGGTACCACTGAGAACAGTCTAGATTCATCCTCTTTGGAACCCCATTTCAGGTAGTTGAAATCCCCCTCATTCTTCTCTTTTGCAGACTAAACAATCCCAGTTCTCTTGGCCTCTCCTCGTAAGTCATGTGCTCCAGCCCCCTAATCATTTTTGTTGTCCTCCGCTAGACTCTTTCCAATTTTTCCACATCCTTCTTGTAGTGTGGGGCCCAAAACTGGACACAGTACTCCAGATGAGGCCTCACCAATGCTGAATAGAGGGGAATGATCACGTCCCTTGATCTGCTGGCAATGCCCCTACTTATACGGCCCAAAATGCCGTTAGCCTTCTCGTCAACAAGGGCACAGTGTTGACTCATATCCAGCTTCTTGTCCATTGTAAACCCTAGGTCCTTTTCTGCAGAACTGCTGCTTAGTCACTTGGTCCCTAGTTTGTAGCATTATACGGCGTTCTTCCATCCTAAGAGCAGGACTCTGCACTTGTCCTTGTTGAACCTCATCAGATTTCTTTTGGCCTCTAATTTGTCTAGGTCCCTCTGTATCCTATCCCTACCTTCCAGCATGTCTACCACTCCTCCCAGTTTAGTGTCTTCCGCAAACTTGCTGAGGGTGCAATCCACATCATCTTCCAGATCATTAATGAAGATATTGAACAAAACTGGCCCCAGGACTGACCCTTGGGGCACTCCGCTTGATACCGGCTTCCAACTAGGTATGGAGACATTGATCACTACCTGTTGAGCCCAACCATCTAGTCAGCTTTCTATCCACCTTATAGTCCATTCATCCAACCCATAATTCTTTAACTTGCCGTCAAGAATACTGTGGGAGACTGTATGAAAAGCTTTGCTAAAGTCAAGCAATAACATGTCCACTGCTTTCTCATCATCCGCAGAGCCAGTTATTTCATCATAGAAGGCAATTAGGTTAGTCAGGCATGACTTGCCCTTGATGAATCCATGCTGACTGTTCCTGATCACTTTCCTCTCCTCGAAGTGCTTCAGAATTGATTCCTTCAGGACCTGCTCCATGATTTTTCCAGGGACTGAGGTGAGGCTGACCAGCCTGTAGTTCCCCAGATCCTCCTCCTTCCCCTTTTTAAAGATGGGCACTACATTAGCCTTTTTCCAGTCATCTGGGACCTCCCAAGATCGCCACAAGTTTTCAAAGATAATGGTCAATGGCTCTGCAATCACATCCGTGAACTCCTTTAGCACTCTCGGATGCAGCGCATCTGGCCCCATGGACTTGTGCTCGTCCAGCTTTTCTAAATATTCCTGAACCACTTCTTTCTACAGAGAGGGCTGGTCACCTCCTCCCCATACTGTGTTTCCCAGTGCAGTAGTCTGTGAGCTGACCTTGTTCGTGAAGACAGAGGCAAAAAAAGCATTGAGTACATTAGCTTTTTCCACATCCTCTGTCACTAGGTTGCCTCCCCCATTCCGTAAGGGGCCCACACTTACCCTGACCACCTTCTTGTTGCTAACATATGTGTAGAACCCCTTCTTGTTACTCTTAACATCCCTTGCTAGCTGCAACTCCAAGTGTGATTTGGCCTTCCTGATTCACTCCTGCACGCCTGAGCAATATCCTCCCTGGTCATTTGTCCAATCTTCCACTTCTTGTAAGCTACTTTTTTGTGTTTAAGATCAGCAAGGATTTCACCATTAAGCCAAGCTGGTCGCCTGCCATATTTACTATTCTTTCTACAGATCGGGATGGTTTGTTCCTGCAACCTCAGTAAGGATTCTTTAAAATACAGCCAGCTCTCCTGGACTCCTTTCCCTCTCATGTTATTCTCCCTGGTCTCCCAGGGGATCCTGCCCATCAGTTCCCTGAGGGAGTCAGTCTGCTTTTCTGAAGTCCAAGCTCCGTATTCTGCTGATCTCCTTTCTTCCTTGTGTCAGGATCCTGAACTCGACCATCTCATGGTCACTGCCTCCCAGGTTCCCGTCCACTTTTGCTTCCCCTACTAATTCTTCCCTGTTTGTGAGCAGCAGGTCAAGAAGAGCTCTGCCCCTAGTTGGTTCCTCCAGCACTTGCACCAGGAAATTGTCCCCTATACTTTCCAAAAACTTCCTGGATTGTCTGTGCACCGCTGTATTGCTCTCCCAGCAGATATCAGGATGATTAAAGTCCCCCATGAGAACCAGGGCCTGTGATCTAGTAATTTTATGTTAGTTGCCCGAAGAAAGCCTCGTCCACCTCATCCCCCTGGTCTGGTGGTCTATAGCAGACTCCCACTATGACATTATCCTTGTTGCTCACCCTTCTAAACTTAATCCAGAGCCACTCAGATTTTTCTGCAGTTTCATACCGGAGCTCTGAGCAGTCATACTGCTCTCTTACATACAATGCAACTCCCCCACCTTTTCTGCCTTGCCTGTCCTTCCTGAACAGTTTATATCCATCCATGACAGTACTCCAGTCATGTGAGTTATCCCACCAGGTCTCTGTTATTCCAGTCACATCATAATTCCTTGACTGTGCTAAGACTTCCAGTTCTCCCTGCTTGTTTCCCAGGCTTCTTGCATTTGTGTATAGGCACTTAAGATAACTCACTGATAACCACTGCAGGGGTGGTGCCTGTGGACAGGGGCAGCGCGTGGAGACACATGCTTCCCCATTCCTAGGGGCTGCAGGGAAGTGCTGTCTGGTTCCGGGAGCCACACAGAGCCAGGGGAGGCAGGGAGCCTGCCTTAGCCTCACTGCACTGCTGACTGGGAGCAGTTCAAGGTAAGTGCCACCTGGCTGGAGCTGTCACCCCCTCCTGCCCCACAACTCCCTGTCCCAGCCCTGTGCCCCCTATTGAAGCCAGGACGCTGCACTCCCTCCCATACCCCGAACCTCCCAGCACCGAGCCCCCTCTTGCACCCCAACTTGCTGCCCCAGGCTAAGCTCAGAGCCCCCTCCCACACTCCAAGCCCCTCTGCCCCAGCCCAGAGCCCGCACCCAAACGCATAGCTCCATCCCGGTGAAAGTGAGTGAGGGTTGGGGAGAACAAACAAAGGAAGAAGGGGAGATGGAGTGAGTGGGGGCAGGGCCTCGGAGAAGGGGCGGGACAGGCACATGGCCTTGGGGAAGGGGCAGGGTAGGGGGCGGGGCAAGAGTGTTTGGGTTTGTGTGATTAGATGGTTGACATCCCTAGATATAGAAGATGGGTAACACTTGTTTTCCTGATCTTGACTTTAGGACTACTTTTTACTACATGGCCTTTAGAAAATAATATGTAAGGAGTATCTGGTATCTCTCTCTCTCTCTCTCTCTGTCTCTCAAGATTATGATGAGCATGGTGATGCAGGATTCAAATAGAAACCTTACATGCAGTCTTTGGTGAATTAGATTGTAAATATGAGACCCAGAGGATTGTAAGTCAGAGACTGACATCCAATATTGCCAATAAGTCACTGAAATGTTGTTGCTCTTCTAATGTGTATTCCTGGTAGGTTGC